AAAATTAGTATTAGTATTAGTATTAGTATTAATATTAGAATTAGTATTAACATAAGTATTAGTATTAGTATTGATATTATAATTAATATTAGTATTAATATTGGTATTGGTATTGGTAGTGGTATTGGTATTGGTATTGATATTGATATTGATATTGATATTGATATTGATATTAATATTGATATTGATATTGGTATTGGTATTGGTATTGGTATTGGTATTGGTATTGGTATTGGTATCGGTATTGGTATCGGTATTGGTGTCGGTGTTCGTATTGGTGTTGGTCTTAGTATTAGCATTAGTATTGGTATTAGTATTGATATTGGTATTGGTATTGGTATTGGTATTGATATTGATATTGGTCTTCGTATTGGTATTTGTATTAGTGTTAGTGTTATAGTTTTAGTATTACTCCCTCTGTCCCATATTATATGTCTTTTTAGAGTGTTTTTTTTTTGTCCCAAATTATTTGTCATTTTAGATTTTCAATGAAGCATTAATTGCATTATTTTCAATTTTACCCTTAATCACTCCTAATTAATTAGTTGAGAATCAATTAATATCGAGGATATTTTAGTAATTTATCTGTTTTTTTACTATATTCTATGCACATTTATTGATTTTCTTAATATGTGTAAAACAACCCAAAACGACATTTAAATTGGGACGAAGGGAGTAGTATATTTAGTATTAATGTTATTATTAATATTAGCATATTAGTATTGTTATTAACATTATTATATTAGTATTATTATTCTATGTAATCTAGCACTTCATATATGTTACATTTCTAGATCAACAGATAATTTTTATCTTTTTTTTAAGGGTAAATTATGAAAACCTCCTGAACTTAGTTTCATTTACGAAAAAACCCTCACCTGTCTGTAATTACCAAAATCTCCCGGCATTTGTTTCTATCTTAAACCAACCCCCTTATGGTGTTATTTTTCATGAAATTTTTTTGATTACTTGGAATAATTTCCAAAAATGCCGATTTAATTCCTGCAGAAGTGACATCTTTATACTACTTTTTTAAGGTAAAAATTACCCTCGGGAGGCCTTTACATGGAATCTTTATTTTTCTTAAATAACACCTTCGCAGTTTTATAGTATTACCATTACCTCTCTTAGAGTAATTTTTATCTTAAGAAAGTAACATAAAGAAAATGCCACTTCAGTAGGAATAAGATCAGAATTGTTCGGAAAATATTCCATGGAGTAAAAAAAATTCAGATACAAATAATACCATAGAAGGGTCGGTGTGAGACGAAAACAAATGTTAGGGGGATTTTTGGTAATTACGGATAGGTGGAGGTCTTTTTTGTAATTTAGCCTAAGAACAGGGAATTTTTCGTAGTTTACCTTTTTTTTAAGGGCAAATTACCGCCACCCCCCTGAGCTATGGTGAAATTACGAAAACCCCCCTCCTGTTTGGGTAATTACAACCACCCCCCTCAACTATGTATTTATCTTACGAAAAGACCCCTCAAGAGGTAAATTTAGGGATGTTAATTCGGTAAAACCGAACCAAAATTTCGGTACGCCAACATTTCATACCGTTTACCGAACTAAATATACGATTTGGTTATGTAAATAACCGAATTACATAAATTTTACGTAAAAATATTTAAAAGGAGGGGTGGCTGTAATTACCCAAACAAGAGGGGTTTTTTCGTAATTCGACCATACCTCAGGGGGTGGCCGTAATTTTCCCTTTTTTTAATTTCATTTTACCAGGATTCAATTTGTTACAATAATATAGTTTATATATATATATATATATATATATATATATATATATATATATATATATATATATATATATATATATATATAATATATTATTTTTCTCATTTTAAAATTGATCACCGTGCATCGCACGGGTGAATTACTAGTTATATTTAGTTTGCTAAAACTGGGCAAAATCAACTTGCCAATTTCTTGGCCAACTAAGATCATTTTTTTTAAAAGCAAAAACATGAAGAAAAGAAAAATCAAAATATCTCCTTGGCAAATTGGGTGAACTGATTTCGCCCAATTTTAGGAAAAGTATGATGAATTTTGATTCTTTTTTCCCTTTTAAGTTGAAGATTTGAAGAACTTCAAGGTTTGAAGATTTGAGGAACAAAAGTATAATTAAATTAGAAAGGCTGATTTTTTCAGTTGTAATTTTTTTACATTTTTCTCCAAGATTTTTGAAGAACAAAAAATAATAATTGTTTTTGCAGTTATCTAGAATTTCAGCAAAAAAATTTTTTCTTCTAAGAATCCTAATCTACGAAATACATTGAACTTGAAAATGTAAAAATTACCTAAAATTTGTTGATGTGTGTCTTGGAATCTAAGTTGAAAATTTTGACAATTTGAGCGAGTTTCAAATAAAATTGGTTTTTGACTTTTTAATTATGAATTAGAAAGTACTTTCAGAATCAATTATTTGCCTCACCTATCATTCGAGATGAAGGAAATAAAGACTTAGAACAGTTCCAATCGAGAAAGCAAATGGGGAATTATATGATAAAATTTCTAATTTAATGTTTCAAAACTTAAATTTTCATCTCTAATGTAGGAATTAAATTGATAGTTATTTTTATAACAATTTTTGGAGATGTAAAAATGCATCATGCAAAAAGAGGTATAAAAAAAAACTAGGGTAAATAGCACTTAACCCCCTTGTGGTTTTGATATTTTGCACATGACCCCCCTATGGTATGAAATTAAGCACATAACCTCTTGTGGTTTTGACATTTTGGACATGACCCCCTTATGATATGAAATTAGAAATATAACCCCCTTGTGGTTTTGACATTTTGCACATGACCCCCTTATGGTATGAAATTAGAATATAACCAACCCCCTTGAATAGAAAACTGGAAAATGCTAAATTACTCCTAAAGTTTAGCCAAATTGCCACCATATCAATTGTTCGTTGGTTACTCTATCAAGTCAAAATTTCTTGTTTTAATTTATTAATAATTATTCTATAAAATGAAAAGCTTACTGTACTTTTTTTTTTTACATGAGAAATATAATATCTTATTGTGTTTTTTTAATTTTACAGCACATATTTTTTTTAATTTTAATTGTCATTTCAACTCTTCAGATTTTTTTTTATATTTTTCCTAAGGAATAAGAAAAATAAAGACTTGGTTTATTAAATCTCTAGATTTTTCCAAAGGAATAAAAAAAATAAAGACTTTGTTTATTAAAAAAATTAAAGTTCGATAACAACTATAATATAATATATTATATAAAATAGTAATATAATAATCATAATTAATGATAATTATTAAAGATTTTTAAATTGATTTCTAAAATTGGATAAATTGTCAATCGTACAATAACTGGTATTATATACCTTTTGTGCTGTAAACTTAAAAAAAAAAAACAATAATATATTACATTTCTTATTTTACAAAAGAATACATTAAGCTTTTCATTTTATAGAATAATCAATTTTAAATTAAAACTAGAACTTTTGACTTGATAGGGGTAGTTTAGTCTTTTCCAGTTTTCTATTTAAGGGGTTATGTGCTAATTTCATACCATAAGGGGGTCATGTGCAAAATGTCAAAACCACAAGGGGGTTATGTGCCTAATTTGATACCATAATGGGGTCATGTGCAAAATGTCAAAACCACAAGGGAGTTATTTGCATAATTCCATACCATAAGGGGGTCATGTGCAAAATGTCCAAACCACAGGGAGGTTAAGTGCTATTTACCCAAAAAACTATTCATATAACCTATCATGAATTAATATGTATCAAGTTTAAATACATTTAGGGCTCGTTCGGTTACCGCTATAAGGTTCTACTGACTAAATAGTAGGGGCTAATAACATGTCCGGTTGGTAAGATTCACATTTTTCAAACCCGCTACTAAATTCAAAGCCCGCTATTAAATGCTACTATTTCATTAAATTAGTAGCACCCCTCCCCCTGAGATTAATTTAATAGGGGGTAACTAAAAAGGAAAAATATAATTTTATCCTTAAAATTATACTGTATTATTGTAAACTAAGTGGTTTTATAGACAATTCATATATAATAACTGATTTTAACAAATTTAATAGAAAATATAATCTAAGAAACCGAACATGCTACTAACTAATAAATTTGATAAAATTCATTTAATGCTTATATTTGGAGGAAATGAATATAAAAAACAACTTCAATTTGATAATTGATGATTCATTTTAATGTTATGCTCAATGTCGTTAGAACCGGACCGGTCGGTCGAACCGTGACCTGGCGATAAGGCGGTCTGGTTCGACCTCTAAAATTGGAAAAGTAAACATCGGAGTCAAATGACCAAACCCCGGTTCGACGGGGTAAAACCCGGAAACCGGCAAATCGGTCAAGGAACCCCAAAAACATCTCAAACCACCACCAAGTTGATTATTTGTAGCTATATTTGAGCGAATCTTCACGGACTTAATTGTGGGTGGCCGGATCTAGTCATGGGTGGTCGAAGGATTTTGCCGGGTATTGTCTTGAGGGGTCGAATATGGATGACCAATTACCGGCTTTGGAGAATAAAGAATGAGAAAATATAAAGTGTAAGCATGAAATAATAGGTGAAAGGTAAAAAATATAAAGAAAATAGTATTTTTAAAACATTAAAATTTAGAAAATAATACAATATAAAAAAAAAATTAAAAACCCAGTTAAACCGATTCAACACTATATAACCATCATCCAAAAGTTCCACAGTCGTCCAGTTCTAACAATATTGCTTTTGCCTTAAACTTGCTCTTACGACGAAAAACAAAAACTCAAAAAATCATTGTCCTTATAAATATGTATAGTGGGAATTTTTCCACATTTTCCCCTTACTTTAAAATATAAAATGAAAATTCCTCGAAAAAGAAAAGAATAAAGAAAAATAAAATAAAATGACAAAACATATGTAAATAATAAATTTCTTTTTTATTAATATTGTAAAATATAAAATACGACGGCGTCAAACTTCACGATAGGCGAGAGCAATATTAGATTTATTTCTTTTCGCTCTTCTCTCTCTCTCTTCTCTCTCTCATTCTCTTTTTCCCCAAATCCGTTCTCCAGAGCGAGAGGGTAAACCTAGGTAAAGGACTCTCAAACCAATCACAAATTTCTAAATCAAAATTCGGAAAAATCTCAATTGATCAAAGATGCTGAGAGTAGCAGGGAGGAGGCTTTCTTCTCTCTCATGGCGCTCTGGCCAGACTTCGTCCGCCGCATTTGTGTCCAGAAACCCATTCACCGCCGTTGATTCATCCTCAGATGGAAGAAGAAGCGGACCCATCTCTTCATCGGACCACTCGTTTGCCTTCTCTACTTCCGTTCTCGATCAAATCAGAGGTTGGGTATTTCCTTTTTGTTTTCGCTTCTATTGATTTTTCTGTTGATTTCATTTTCGCAATATTATGCCTTCTATTGTTGTTATTGAGATCGGGTTTTATTATGAAATTATAATTTTTCAAATTGTGGGAAAAATGAATTCTTTATTAAATATTGCTTATATCAGTTGGGCCTATTGGATGGGTTTTAATTCAAACTGGATTCGTTTACATATATTTGGGAACTGAATGGTTTGAAATTTCTCGATTTTAGCCGAAGCGATGGGTTCTTGTAGAACTCGTCAGATTCGAGAAACTTGTTCCTTTTGTTTTCATTGAGATCATAAGTTTCCTTTAGGTCTTCATAAAACTATTTGAATTCGTATTCCCCTATTTTTAAGTTATTTAGTTATATGTAATATTATTTTTGTTACTATGATTTTTGAATTTCACTCAGTACGTTGGATATGGAAACCATATGCATCTACGGCACTTCATGCTGAAAAATGGACCATGATATTGTAGATGGTAGAATAAGTAGGCTATATGAAAGTATTCACCATTGGTGTTATGAAAAACATACTTGTGTAAGGAAGTGACCTGCGAACTGTAGTATGTTTTGCAAGTAGCTGATTTTACTGTCTGCAAATGTGTAATACATAGTTTTTATCTTCTCAGTTATCGTGGCATAAATTCTGCAGTTTATGTTGGAAGATGCAATCAGCTATTTTGTAGCCTTTCTTTGGCTAGTTTGTGTTTTTACGTCCGTCATAGTTTTTATGTTCCATTTATTACTTTCTTTAGAGACAATTGACAAATAATTTCCTGCTGCCACTCTATTATATTCAATTGTTGAGATAATAATCTGATGATCTTCAAGCAACAGATATTGGTTTAGGTTTTGAACTACAAGCACATGTAATGACATAAATAGTTCGAGTTTTCATAATCTGTACAATCTTGCTGTCGTGTCTATTTTATCTGCATCTTAGATGAATTGTACAAAATGGACTTTTTTGCCACTTTGCCTGGTATGGAGTGTACAAACTTAATGCTAAACTTTATAACATCTATTTCTGAGCCATGTGGCCAATCCCAGGTCATAAGGGATAATAAATTTATCTTTAATTGAATCCAGCTCGGATTTATCATGAGAAGGACCTATTTGTGAAAACTTTCCTTTATTTATTTTGTCTTTCTGTCTAAACTTTCAATTTTATGCATAGAATAAATATGATAACACTAATATTATTATTCTACAAACAATAAAACCATATTATTATGTTTCCGCATCCAAGTAAAACATAGTATTAGTTCCTTTATCTTTCAATTTATGCCTATTGGTGTTCCCAAAGTGCCTTCTCGAAGTCCTGGAGAGGAAGATGCATCTTCGGTTAACGTATAGTGTATCATTAAGGAAGGACTGAGAGATGTTAGCAAGAACTTATATTAAACTATACCTTTTGCACGGCATGTATCATGTAATGGAGGAGGTATATGGTAGTGAGTATTTTATCTTTAGATGCATATATCCCATATTTGGCTGTATTGGACTGGTTTTGCACCAGATAGTCTTTGTTAAGGTGATTAATTCTGCTTTTTGATACACTTTTATTATAATATTGGGCATGAATTAAGCTTCACTGGTTAATCAATTGGAATGTTAGGTATATATAAAAGATTCTTGGTGAGATTATCAACACTGGTTTTCTTTGGCTTTATCCTCCTCTCATACTTGAGTTCTTGCATCTTAGTGGCTCCAATTGTCGCACATCTTGTTGTTAGTTGATGTTTTAGAGGGTTGGTTTTATAAATATAAGAGCCCGGTTCGTCTTCAATTCGATAATTGGCTACTGAATGCATTTCTAAATTCTATAATTTAGATATGTAACACATATTGCAATAACATCTCAATTTTCTGTTGACCTATATTAGGGTTTTCTTCGGGTACCATTGTGCATGGAGAGGAGACTGGTCTGTTTGCAGATATGCCTGCTACAGTGGCAGCAATCAAGAATCCCAGCCCGAAGATTGTGTACGATGAACACAACCATGAGCGTTATCCACCAGGTGATCCTAGCAAACGTGCATTCGCGTACTTTGTTCTAACTGGTGGGAGATTTGTCTACGCATCATTGGCTCGCCTCCTGGTACTCAAATTTGTTTTGAGCATGTCTGCCAGTAAGGATGTTCTTGCGCTCGCCTCCCTCGAGGTGGATCTTTCCAGCATCGAACCTGGGACAACTGTCACTGTGAAGTGGCGTGGGAAGCCGGTTTTCATTAGGCGTCGAACTGAAGACGACATCAAATTGGCCAACAGTGTTGACCTTGCCTCTCTCCGGGACCCACAAGAGGATGCTATTAGGGTTAAGAATCCGGAATGGCTTGTGGTTGTGGGTGTGTGCACACATTTGGGTTGCATTCCATTGCCGAATGCAGGTGATTTTGGCGGTTGGTTTTGCCCATGCCATGGTTCCCATTACGACATCTCTGGTAGGATTCGCAAAGGACCCGCACCGTACAATCTGGAAGTTCCTACTTACAGCTTTTTGGAAGAGCATAAGTTAATGATCGGGTGAGGGTTTGCTATTTAATAATAGTACACCAATCTTCACAACTGTGGGGACTATTTATCTTATGATACTCTGCTTTTGTAATTGTTAATTTTGTCTTTTTTAAGTCTGCTCTGTTTTATGTTTACTTTTATTGACTTGGATTATGGCGTAGCAGAGTCTTTGAAGTGGCTTCGCCGTTTTGAATAATTTGGGATACTCGTAATTGTTTTGTCATGTTGAATGAGTTTGTATTGAGATTGTATCTCCGTTAGAATAAATAGCATCTCGAACTGAAACCGTCAACTGATGATGATGATGATATCTTTGTCTTGTTAAATTAGTGTTGTTTTGTTACTCGAGCTATCGAAAATGGCCATTTCATTGTGGCTAAAAGTAGATGTACAAATAAAGTCGGTTACATTTCAAGGATAGTAACTCATTCAGTAAAGAAATATATATTAGATTGAGAGAACTCTGCTGAAATCTCCCTATATAGATACATGTTTTGATACAGTTGCAGGGCTTCGTAAATTTGAATCCAAGGTAATTAATTTATTAGCACTCTTGAATAGGAACAAGCTTCATTTTTCCTCCAAAGGTATCGGGTAGTTGGGTCTCGTCGATATCTTCGAGCAACGCGGATTGCAATTTTTTGTCGTCCACGAAAACAATCTGCACATTTCGAATAGTATAATAGTATTAGTCAATTAACATTCGACCGAAAAATAAATTTTATAGGTCAGGTTTTATTCACCACAACAAGAGATTGAGTAATGAGGAAAAGAAAAACATTAATTATTGTTACCTTTTTCTTAGTGTTTTTGTCTATAAAAGGATAAACCATCTTCCATGCAGTCATGAATATGTAAGGAACATGCACAATGAACAATTTCCCCAGCCTTTCTGGGTAGCAATCCTGTCACACCAAATCAATCACATTTTCAGATAACCACAATAATTTATATGCAACTCTCTCTCTCTCTCTCTCTCTCTCTCTCTCTCTCTCTCTCTCTCTCTCTCTCTCTCTCTCTCTCTCTCTCTCACAGACGAAGAAGAAGAAGAAGAAGAAGCCATACTTGCATGATTGATAGAGCAGCAAGATATCCTCGAATATCACTGTTAACATAACCCCATCCTTGTAGGTCTGCAATCGCAGTGAACTTCTCGTGTCCACTGGGCATTCTGGAATTACAAAACAGTCAGAATTATTTATCATAGTTCAAATGAAAAGCTAATAATTCTGTTGCTAATTTTGCAAAGATGAAAAACGGGGAGACAAAACGATCTTTTTTGTAAATAAACCAAAAAACATAAACTCCTGTCTCAAGAATCCAATCAAATGACACATCTCCATCGATACATCAACTTACCTAGCGCAAATTTTATCAAGTGTGAAAGTTACAAAACCTGCCATAGGAGGAGGAACCGAAACGAGAGTTAGCATAAAGAAAAAGTCGCAACTATAAGTAAATATTATTTACTGAAAGATGTCATCGTGATTTGTGACAACATTCGTCTCCACGTACACCAAAAGATTTATACGAGCATGCTTGAAAAAGAACCGATTAAAATGTATTGGAACATTTTTTTTAATGTATTTCTTACGTTTAAACTCATCGACAGTTGTGGGCTTATGGCGTTCAGCAAAGACAAGTACTATAGGGCGCCCGGTCTTATCATATCCCTGCATAAACAGCTTATTGTGTGCAAGATCGTTAGGAATCTCAGATGGTGAAATGACACCATTCGGAACAAATTCTTTCTTCCATTTCAAATACTTCAATAACATGGCCGACGCCTTTTCAACATCAAGATCTCGAGCTCGAAGAAATCTACGCATCATCAAATCATCCACGTCCTGCAACAGACTACACTTCAACTACTTTCCCATTTTGTATATATAAATAGTCATCATCGAATACTCCAACTTCATTCTTTTCTTGTTTCGTTAACTACACAATACAGTTACTATTGGAGATAATAATATTAAATGATACATTTCACTAACTAACAGCTTAACCTTTTTTGTTGAGATAGTCATTCAGCAGTTACTGACACTGAGTCAACTATTATCATTTTCAAGATAATTACAGAATCATTAAAATTAAGCTAAATGGAAAACTAATCAATTGACAGATAACAGAAAAGTTTAATTATTTATTTATTTTTTAATGTGGGATACAAAAAAGAAAAGAAAATAAAAGAAAAGAAAAAAAGGATAGAAGAATTAGGAGTGACCTTTGCAGAGGGGTCCTGTGATTGAAGAAGGGGCTTCATAAGTTGAATCTTAGAGAGCTCGATCTCTTCGATGGGAACTTGTTGTTTAGCATCATCTGACTCTGAGGAGGAGAGTGATGTTCCAATCTGGAATGAATTCAACTTCTGCCTCAAATATGAACTCATGCCTCCTCTTCTTGGCTTCTCTCTCTCTCTCTAGCAAGCAGATATATATAGAGAGAGAGGAGAGAGAGAGAGAGAAAATATTGGGTAAAGGCTATATATAGCTCAAAGAATAAAAAAATCTCCGCCTCATCTATATATATGTTATATGTAAAAGAAAAAAGAAAAAAAGAAGAGAAATAAATGCAGTGCCGCTGCGGATACAGGTAGAGTAGTTGGAGTTCTGTTCTTCATGTTCCAGCTCCTTGTGGACCCATCCTTCTTTTTGGTTCATTTTCATTATTATTTATTTGACGGAATGAATTTTTTAGTTCTGTAAGTTGGACTTTTCTAGGGTCCGATCATTAACGAGCGTCCGGTCATTAATTTCTGCTTGAAGTCAGGTAGGGTCTCATTAGCCAGCAGGTGTCCAAAAACAAATGAATATTTTAAGTTTTGGGAGAATTACACTTTTGGTCCAATTTCACTTTTGGTCCTCCTTGTTACAAAGTGAACAAAGTTCACCTCCAAGTTTAAATTTTAAACATTTTTGGTCCCCGCCGTTACATGTCCGTTAACAAGTAATAGAAAATAGTATTTTGAGGCGAGAATTAAATTTTTAAATTTTTTGGGGCTAATTTTTTTTTAGAAATTTAAATTAGACTACTTATAATTAAATTATAAGTAGTCTAATTAAATTTTATCATAAAATAAATAAAAATCCAAACAAAATAATAATATTTATGTGGTTGACATCAATATTACTATGACAACAATAATATTATTGTGTTTACAGTAATATTATTAAGTTACTCCGTGAATAACTCAAACAAAACAAAAAACCCAAAAAAATAATAATATTGATGTTGTTGACAGTAATACTATTGTGTTTACAGTAATATAATTATGTTGACTTGTCAACAAATCAAACAAAATAAATATAAATAACAAAAAATAAAAAATAAGAATATTACGTTAATTTACTGTCAACGGCAGAACAATTATATAAATGTATTGTCAACGGCAGTACAATTACGTTAATTAACTGTCATTGATAGTATAATTACGTTAATTTACTGTCAGTGACAGCACAATCACGGTCAACGTTTAGCGGCGGACGTAAAAAAAAAAACAAAACAAAACAAAAAAAGAAAAACACTAAAAAAAGTTGACCGCCGGAATCCGGCGGCAAAAATTTTTTTTTGAAAAAAAAAAGTCAAAATTTGATTTTTGTGGTCAAAATTGAATTTTTGTAGACAAAATTGATTAAATTGGGGTTACAATTAAGAATTTGGTATAAAAGGGTTGGGGGTAATATTGTCATATACATGAATGTTTCCTTTATTTATAATAAATATTAAATGGATGGATTATTGGTAAAAAAGATATAGTCTCTAAATCTAGAATAATAAAGATGTTGGATTGAGGACTTATGCACAAAAACCCCTAATAACTGAAGGGAGTTTCACTTATATAGCAAAATGGTATGGATTCATCCTAATATATCCAAATGTGTTGGGACACTAATTTCACCTTATTTGTAAGTTTTAGAACCATCTCAAACGTAGAAGACTCAACAAACTCTTGGACCATGATTGAAATAAGATTTCAAAATTTATAAAACATGAAAGTGTAAGTTTTTTCACGAGATTTTGAATACAACTTGAATAAGTACAATCGATAATAAGATTAAGACAATAATAATAATAATCAATTGAATCTTTTTACCATGATTTAAATCAAAACAAAAAAAATTATAAAACGTCAACATCTTATCGTAGGTTTTCCAACTTAGATCAATTAATAGGAGTTCGTTTGCTTAAATTATGACAAAAATATTTCTTTAGCTATTTTCAATCATTTTTTCAAATAAGTCAATATTTGGTAAGGGACTTCGCATAATTTCCTTAGGTAAGTAGTAGGACACATCAACAAATTTTTTTGTTACGACGAAATGAAAGAAATTTGTTTCCATATTTTTACTTTATATTTCGAAATGTAATTTTCTAAAATGAAGTGAAGGTGGTACATGTGTATCCTAATACACATGAAGATGAGGCATTTTTTTTCCTTCCTTAACCAATTATTTTAAAGGGGTTATTTGCATAATCCCTCGTACAATTTTTTTAGAGGCATAAATCATATTTTTATTTACTATTAGGGATAATCCCTCATTAAGGTTAATATCTCATTTACCCTTATTATATTCATAAAAATATAATTAAATTATTATTGCTAAAGTAACTCCCCTTAAATTTCTCACCAACTCCCCAAATCTCTCACTAAATGCAAATCACCGCATTTCAGTTTCTTTTGATTCTTTTTACTTTTTACAATCTTTTTGTAATTTTGATTTAAAAAATATATATTTATTTTCAATTTTCATTTTTTTAATTGGTTTTTTTACCGAAGTTTAACAAAAAATTGAAATCCACTACATACTCCTTGAACACCACTATAAATTCATCTTTTACAATCTTTTTGTAATTTCGATTTAAAAAAAATATTTTTTTTTTCAATTTTCATTTTTTTTAATTGGTTTTTTTATCGCAAGTTTAACAAAAAAATGAAATCCACTACATACTTATTGAAAACCACTATAAATTCATCGAAAACCACTATTCGATTAACGTAGAAATCAGTATGAAATTATCGTAATCAACTTTAATATTAATATAATGCACCACAAACGTATCGAAATCGAATAAAAATTACATAATCCACTACGAATTAACGTAATCCATTACAAAATTATCAAAATCTACTACATTAAAACATAATATATGGATTGAAATCCACTACATACTCATTGAAAAACACTATAAATTCATTGAAAAACACTATTCGATTAACGTAGAAATCAGTATGAAATTATCGTAATCAACTTTAATATTAATATAATGTACTACAAACGTATCGAAATCGATTTTTTTTACATAATCCACTACGAACTAACGTAATCCATTACAAAATTATCAAAATCCACTACAAAGTTATCAAAATCCACTTTATAGGTTAAAGTAATCCACTACAAAATTAACGTAATATATGGATTGAAATCCACTACATACTCATTGGAAACCACTTAAATTCATCGAAAGCTACTATTCGATTAAAGTAGAAATCAGTATAAAATTATCGTAATCATCTTTCATATTAATATAGTGCACTACAAACGTATCGAAATCGAATAAATATTTACATAATCCACTACGGATTAACGTGATCCATTACAAAATTATCAAAATCTACTACAAAGTTATCAAAATCAACTTTATAGGTTAAAGTAATCCACTACAAAATTAACGTAATATATGGATTGAAATCCACTACCTACTCATTGAAAACCACTATAAATTCATCGAAAACCACTATTCGATTAACGTAGAAATCAATATAAAATTATCGTAAAATCAACTTTCATATTAATATAGTGCACTACAAACGTATCGAAATCGAATAAAAATTTACATAATCCACTACGAATTTACATAATCCATTACAAAATTATCAAAATCCATTGCAAAGTTATCAAAATCCACTTTATAGGTTAAAGTAATCCACTACAAAATTAACGTAATATATGGTTAATCCACTAAAAACTTATCGTAGAAAAACACTTATGCATCAACAACAAACTTATCAAAATCCACTACAAGCTTCCGAATTTATGATAGTGTTGCTCGTGGTTTTCGTTAGGTTAGAGTGACCCGGTGATAAACACTACAAACTTATCATCACTCAACATCGTCCCACTTGCTGCCATCACCCGCTTGTGCAAGAACCTAAACCAAAGAAAAATAAGCCAACAACGTGTCAATTTAATTCATTCACTAAAAATCGGTCTCCAAAGCAAGAATTTAAAATCCACTATAATCTCGTCAAAACCCACTACAAAAATTATCAAAATCCACTAAAATATTAACATAATCCACTACGAAATAAGTTAATCCACTAAAAAATTACAACAAAAGTATAATAACAAATACTCAAATAGTGACCAAAAACATGAAGGAGCCTCAAAAGTATATTGAAAATCTCATATATATAATAGCTTATTCAACAATTCGACTAGTTGTCACTTCTATTTTGTTAACCATCATATAGAATTTATTTATGGATATAGAGAAAAAATGACAGCAACAAAAACATCAGCAAACCAACATCTTAAACAGCAGCAAAGCAACACGAAAACAACAGCAAAACAGCAACAAAATCAGCTGCAAATTAGGAGCCAAACAGCAGCAAAGCCAAAAGAAAACAGCTGCAAAAACAGCAACAAAAAACAACAGCAAAATAGCAGCCAAACAATAGCCAATTGCAGCTAAAAAATACAATAAATCAATTATAGTTCTAAGTTTTCAGAAAAAAAATATCCAAAATTTGAAAATATTTTTGGAAATTATGGAATTTTCGATAATATTTAGGGCTTCACCTTATTAATTCGTATTGTATTCCTTACTAAAAATTATCAAATTTCAAAACCAAAACATGTTTGAAATCAAACATTATCAAATTTCAAAACCAAAACATGTTTGAAATCAGACATTATCAAATTTCAAAACCAAAACATGTTTGAAATCAGAAGAATTGTTGCACTCATTCACCATTATCACAAAGTTATTCATGTGAATCAAGTTTTATATTTTCATGAAGTTTTCTTTTTTTCATGAATCAACATTAGTCTGTCTATATATATATACACACACACACACACACACACACACACACACACACACACACACCCACAAATACGTACCTGATCGGAACATCAATATCACGAAGCAATGTTCTGCACAAAAATCCCTCACAAAGATCTGCTTGTCGATTCCAGATCCGATCGTCGGGATTAAGCCTTGTCATCATCGATTTTTTCTGGTTCTGTCTTCTCTTGCATTTTATGTCATGATGGTCCTTCATTCCGGCTGCCAAGAGAAGAAAAACGGAAGAAAGAGAGGGCGGATGGAGAAGATGGAAATATGGATCGAGAGAAAGAGTGAGGGAGAGAAAACGTGGCCAGGGTTAAACGGCGTCAGATTTGGGTGGGTTTGGTGGAGTGTATAATTGTACTATATATTTTAAAATTAAATTATGGATTTATCTCAAAGAGGTGAAAAAATAATGGACCTCCTCTAATAGGAAATGTCATATGAGGGGATTTTGTCAAATAATCTCTATTTTAAATGATATTTTATATTCTATTTTAAAATTACTAATATTTTTCAGGGAAATTTACACATGTTTCCCTTGAGGTTATATGTAATTACTGTTAAGACACTCTTTTGGTTTTGAAACATTGCAAACCTTCTTTCAAGTTTGATATTAGCCAACACTTGACCTTTTGATCATTGAGTTTGTTAAAATTCTATTTTTATCCAAATTTGAATGAATTACATTGCCATACTCTCAGGTTATGCCTAGTTACATAGATATCTCATATTTTAAAAATATTGCAGATATATCTCTTACAGTTTAAAAATATATAGAGACCAATGACATAATTTAGATGTACGAAAAGTGTCTATTAATTATATCTAACCTCATGGGATGACAATTTAATTTACTCACTATTCAGTCAATAAAGGTAACAATGAAATTATAAAAAAAAAATTCAATTGTCAAATAGGGTAACGACTATTTTGGTTCAACGAATCCGGGTGGATGGAATAGGTTAACGGCTATTTTGGTTCAACGAATCCGAGTGGATGGATCATGTAATTATGTATCTCTGATTTAGTTCACTAAAAGCGCATAGGGGATGGATACTGGACCATGGCCTACGTCCACCAATCACATGATATCGCATCCGCCCATCCAAGGTGAGATTAGGTAATCCCGTTCGTCTTTCACTTAAACACACAGGCCTATTTTGGTTCAAGTGATGGGATATGATGGGATTACAAATCCATTTTCAAATTACACTGTAGGGATACATGCAAAAAAGTGGGATCTCATATTTGGTAAAAGGGATTGAGCCATATGGATTGAAGCATGGTTGTATAGTAATTGACAATATTACCCCTGCAAAGTTGTATTTTTTTCTACAATAGTGTTTCATTTCCCACATCATTCCAAATTTAAATCAGATTGTTTTCTTTTTTTCGTCTGTGTTCATAAAAAATAAGGAAGATGAGTTTTTTTTTTTTTTGATTCTAATACTTGAAAACTGAATAGCATTTGGCTTATTCAAATCTCCAGATTATTTTATTTTAATCGATCAATTCATCCATGTAAGCACAAAAATAATAAAATTCAATTCCACTAAACAAAAAGTTTCGCTTCGACCAAAAAAAATAACTCTCAATAATATATAATTGTCTGGCAAACTGCAACATATGAATAAATTGTTTGTAGTCTACAAATTGAATAGAATAACCGGTCTAAAAATATTATGCAAATATTTTCCATCGACTTCGAAAAACATATACTACAACAGATCAGACTGTTCAATAACATCGTTCTCCAAAAGCTTGAGAAGTTGTTCCACTTTATTCTGCATTAACATTAATCAAATGTTAAAACCAGTTTAATAGTAAAACATATTATAATCAAACTAACATGAAGTATATAAATAGTTATAAACTAATAAATGCAGGGGCTCTTAAGTACATATCTCATTGAATAGTAGATGAATTTGCTTTCTTAAGGTGAAAATACATAAACATGATTTATAGACCAAACAAACAAAAAAAAAATTCCACTCACATCTCCAGTACACATTCTAATAGCTTAGAAAAGTACATTTCACTAGTGTGATGAAATTATTATCAGGCAAAGCAACAAATAAACAAAGGAAATAGGTCTGTTCGTAGATAAAACATACAAATAAAGTAATAACAAATATTTCAGCTGACATCTCGAGTACTCATATTCAAATAGTCTGGATAAAATGTGTTTCACATAAGGCCACTTCTTTAGACAAATAGATGATGTCAATAGAGATGTTTTCATCTAAATAACATAAATTAATTAACAAACTCAATCTAGGAAGCCAACTAATTAAGGGTATAATTGAGTTCAACGATTAAGAAATAACATGTGAGAAAAATCCACATGCTATTATTTATTTATAACACAAATTACAATCCATCTATTGGCAACTCAAGTAATGTTCAATTTATTAGTACTCAGACTCTTCAAGTAGCTACAATTATATAGTATTTTCATATTTTTTACTCAATTCAAAACAAAAAAGTGAAAGTGCATTGATAAAAAAAATTATCCCAATAAAATATAACATGTTATAATGATTTAAACATAAACTTTCTTACCAAGACAAATTTCCGGCAGTGTTATTCCCTTGCATTCTAAGAAAGAATTGATACATTTCTTCATGTGTTTGCAATTGCAACGACTCTATTTTTTCTTCATAACTACTATTTTGTTTTGCCATTTTCTCTGCTAGTTCTGTAGTGATTCATAACTACTGCTTATTTTTCCTTTGCTCTGCTAGTTCTGTATTAGGGTGTTAGTTATCTTTCTTGCACTTTGAAGCTCATTCCCATTTTCTTTTTATGTATTTAATGAATATTTCCATAGTTCAATCTTGTTTGGATTAGTCTGCTTGTAATGTACTAGTAAATATCACAATGACAAGTTGTTAATTTTCAAAAAAATACGGGATAGATTTTAAAATTGAGAATGACAAGAATACAAACCATTTTCCTATAACACGAAAGATATATAAAATCAAAAAAGTAACAGGAAACAATTTAATGAGATTCAAGGATTGCAGGCCCTACCAAACATCACCAAATTGTCACAGATTGAGAAAAAAAAATATCAATAGTAGGCACATAACATTACCAAATGCCATTAACAGAAGGGGGTGTATTGATTTATATTTTTATTTTTTAAATTGAGCTCAACAATGTCGAAAACATGTTCAGAGGAGAAGACAATATAAAAGAAATGTTTAAAGCTGCGAAAAACTCACCTCGCGAAGATAATCGATACCAGAAAGAAGCACATCCGTCGCTCCGTCGCCCACACTCCGCCGACGCCGCCCAATTTTGTCCAATACAGAACTTCAATGTATTGGCTTGCGGAAAAGTAGCAGTAAAAAAACCTTAAACATAGCATAGCAAAATGAAAAAAAAAATTACCTTGATTTATTGAACGATTATTAGCAGAGTATAGAAAATCGGAGATGGGCCGGAGACCAATCGCGTTGAGAGGGAAGAAAGCTATGGCTTTCTGCAGGAGCGTTTTGGGGGAGATGTTTTCTATATATAGTTGGTACAATTGCAATTATGAATAGGTTTTAGGGGCTGATAAGTAATATCACAACATATTTAAGTAAATAAAGGACAGGATTGGAGGATCTCACCTTGGGTGGTCGGATCCGATATCACGTAATTGGCTGATGAAAACCCGGGCCGCGGATCAATCCGCCTCAACTTAAATCGAACCAAATCTGAGATCCGCCCCGATTATAGGATCTATCAGACCGGATCAGCTGAACCAAACTAGCCCACAATGTGATAATATATCCAGCCCTTCAAATTCATTTGTATATAATCATAATTACCTCCCCAAATCGCAGCCTTCGAAAGCCTTAGCCTTTTTATCTCTCATCCCAATTGGTTTCCGCCCACTTTGGATTCTCTTTCTCTATTGACTATCATTCCGGAAATCATGTTATATTTCCCTCCCTTTGTTATGCTATCTAAGTACGTGCCTTGATAAAGAAGGAATTTTTCTGCTTAGTACTTTTCTTGTAAAAATCTTTGCCTTTTTGTTCTCCCACCACGGAATGCAATGCATTAGTCATATTCAACAAGCCGAAAATTATCAATTTAGCTCTTCCACAAAGTTCGTCATCACACACACACACACACACACACACACACACACACACACAAAATCCCACATTTCCCAACCTGCAAAACCACACATGTTAAAGGGATTTCGTGAAAATAAAATAAAAATGAATAATTCAACATTTTTCATTAGAAAATTCGGTTCTTACCCCATTTTTGGGCATGTCAGTGACCAGGATTACACGTCGTCCACAAAGTTTGCAAGACAACACCCAACCCACAATGATAAATAAATATGAATATAATCCCAAGAAGGACGATCAAATATAAAAAGTCAGAACAAAATCTCCTTTGAATAATAAATTTGAGCTTCTGCAGATTTATTTTTGAAAACCAGAATAACAATGGCAAAAAAGATGAACACGAAGAAGACGATGAACGAGACACACGTGGCAAAGGCGCGTGTGATAATAATCATTTTCCTCAGATGGGCGGTGACATATACCTAATAGACGAGGAACAACAAAAGACAAAAGACGAATATTCCAGACCTCTTTTGGGAATTACAAAGGAAAACTCAAACACGCAAGAATTTTTTTATCCCGAGAGTGCAACAATCGAAACCCTAATATGGCTGACGTCACTCAATACGCCAGCACTACAGGACTACCCACTAATTTGAAATTTGACGATTTATATTCCATGCAAGGTGAATTTATTTTCCCAGACCACCCCTCACTCCCTCCCAAATTTCCTCCGAAACCTTTACTGCACAATGATTCCCAACACCCCTCCCCTGTCACCCCCTCGCCGGAACCACTCCCCACCAACCACTTTGCAACTACTTCCCCTAGCCCCAGTCATCGGGAACCCCACTTCGATCATGGAGAATGGCTTCTCGACTCCACCAGCGACCCCAAATATCCACCAGGCTTCGAACCTGTTTTTGAGTTCCAGTCGAACCCCACAAGCTCCACCCACCCATCTCCTACACCCAAATCCAGAATAGCTAAGTCCTCCACTCGGCCACCTCCAAACCGAAACCAAATGATCATGGTGGGTCCTCACACCTACATAGTCCAACCCTACCACCAGAACCCTCACTTCTTTGTAAGCCCTCCTTCAACACCAAGAATATTGGTGGATCTGGCA